CGTTTCAAGATGGGGGGACAACCCAGTACCCCATGACGTGCCTGCCTGCCCGGCTGCTCTTTCGGGGAACTTTTATCGATGTAATATTCGCTGAATCTCATCACGGTAATAATGCGACAGTCAGAATGACGGGAGCAGCCGTAAAAGCGTGTATACTTTTTCATAAAACGTACGTCAGTAAGAGTCACGTAAGTTATAATAACAGAGTTGATTTTTTGCTAATTAAAAATCGATTAAAAAAAGAGCGGTCTTGTTGTAAAAGTTTGAAAAAAGAAGAATTGAGCAACAGCGTGTGCTAATTTTGGGGCACAAGTATAAACTTGATTTTTCTTCGTTAAAAAGAAAGTGAGGACGTTTATATATAAGATGAGACACGCACTATACCTTTCCAAATATGTATTGGTAAAATTCTAATAAATTAGAGCACAGCGCACAGACTCCACAGCTCAATTTTACGATCTTCGGTTCGGTGACTGATTTAACATACAAGGCACCGAGGTAACTGGTTTAATGTAAACGGACTCGCCAAAAGTGGCGTTGTGTCCCGAAGTGTATTTAACTGACCTCGACTGGTCTCTCACACACATCTTCCTTTCTAACCGATCGGTCGGATATACGTGCAGGTATATACTTTGGAAGGGACGGGTGCGTACACGAATGTAAAGTTGCGCCCGGCGTAAACCTGTCATTTACCAGAAAGAAAATCAGGGTCAACCGGTAATCGTTAAGTGATTTTGCAAAAAGCGAACTGGATGTCGAAGATTCTCGGAGAAATATGCCGTTTATTTGGAAGGGACACTTATCGCGGCCTGTCATTAAAATCTCTCCCCTGCTTCGCACAAAGCAAATCGCGCAAATGGTGCTCGCGAAAGAAAAGACTGACTGTGTATATACGACATTGTCTCTCTTCTTCCATTTTAATTAACATCTTCATAGCACGGCGTTACATGGATACGTGACATAATTTCTAACTAAACATAAATTATGAAGAAAGGCATGAGATTTGTACAACATGTACTTTTTATGACAAAAATGCTTTGCTATTGCTCAATTATTTATTTTCAATAATGATAAAAATCCCAAATGCAACGCAGGCACACACGTTCTATTGTGGAAAGGTACATCTAAATGATTTATCGCGTATCAATCAAGCAAAAACTTGAAATTCGGATTAATCAGAAAAGTGTACGATCAACGTCGCCGAATGCATCGGGACGATGCACTGATGCCTTCAAAGCGACACCTGACAGTTCGGACTCGTCTCGATCAAACCGCTGATGATTACAAACCTCTAAGGACCGGTTACGTCAACGTCACGCGGTGTTAATTTCGGTTACACAGATTTTTCTTCGCTATTTATATCACAAATAAAACTACAATCCACAAAAAGAAATGGCAGAATTAAATTTGTTCTCGTTTCCACTTCCATCGTTTCCGTTTATCAGATCTTTTCTCACGCGACTACACAGCATAAATTATAAAATATACGAATCGTTAAAAAAGATATATATGTCTAAAAAAGAAAAATAGAAGTAAACCTGTAACCTGTACAGTTATATTTGAAAAGTCACGCACGGAGTAAGATCTGGGTCCGCCAAGAGTTCCCGGAAAAGAACATTGCATATCTGTATGGATACCCGTACGCATGAAAACATGTTCAGAATCGGAGTCACGCGTCTTCACAAGTATTAACTGGAAGCAGCATTTCCCGGATGTTCTATAAAGACATTTTCGAGTCAATTGGGATCATAGAAATTGACCTCCGTTCGTACAAATTAAGCGTGAACCACTTATGCGCGCCTAACACATTCTCCTTTTCATTTATTATAGTCGTAATTTTCCGCGCGTTTCTTTACGTTATTTCTCTACATATCTGAATAAATATCTATTTAAGACTTGATTTAAGAAATTTCTCAATTTTATTAGTCTTTGTGAGGATGAGCAACGACCTTCGCGCGAAGGCGAACCTTCCCCTCGGAGGGTGGAAGATCGCGCAGACGGTGCTCGGGGCGCGGGACAATCTTGGCGCGGCGTTGGGCCCCGTAATACACGCGGCATTGAGAATATATACACGTACACGCATACACGCGACATGGTGTAAGCGACGCCGACGTGCACGCGGTCGTCCGCCCCGCGACCGCCGCATTCCAGGGGCTACCCAAACTGAAGCCTATACCTTATAGCCTTATACACCGAGCTCTCACTTCTTCTCTCTCTCTCTCTCTCCTCTCTTTCGTTTCTCTTCTTCTCCCCCCATCCTTTCCCCCGCACACGTTTCACCACGATATCCTCCCTCCGTGCCTCGTGCATCCCTTTTCCATCTCGTAGTGCTTTTTTTTTCTTTACTCCACTCTCGTTCTCTCCTCCTCTCCCTCTTCTTCTTTCTGTCCTTCCTACCGCCTTTTGCGAGAATCCACGCGCGAATCTCGTCCCTCCACTCTGTACGAAATTTACATATTCTCTCTCTCTCTCTCTCTCTCTCTCTGTCTCTCTCTTTCTCTCATTTTCTCTCGAACGCGATGCGACACCTGGCACGATCCCATCGACATCATCGAATTTCATTCGTTCGCGAGATTTTACGAGACAACGCGCCTGGCGTTGCTCTCGCAGAGTTTTCATCCTTTTTCGGCATAGACCGAGGATCGATTTAATTTTAATCGAGAGGCTCAATTGTCTCTCCGCTCTTTTCCATATTACGCACAGAAAGCGATGAGACAGAAAGAGAAGGAAATAAGAAGAATTAAATATTGATAAAAAGATAAGAATTCGACTTGATCTCGAAAAGATCTAAACTGACAATGAGATACTTGCACAGGCAAATGCAATGGATGACGGTTAAAGTACAATCAATGTCGACGCAGGTGAATAAATATTGAAGAGACCATTCCTAACGGAGTTCCAACGACTCGTGTTTTAGAATCCCACAAACATTACTTGTAGTTAAGCAAAATTTAAGGGACATAATTTTGCCGTATATATATTCTTTTTTTCAATGCATACTGACAAAAAACGTATCTCAGTATTGCATACAATTTCATTTAATAACCGCACAACGACGGTTATTAAATAAGTTAGTAAACAGGCTAATTTCAATTAATCTCCTGCTTTTAAAGCGAGACAAATGCGAATTTAAACCTCGCCTAAAAACAAAAGACTTACGTACAGAGAACAATACCGCTCACGCCGTTTATTTCTCGGGCAGAAAATTTTTTCGGGACAACAAAATAAGTAAAAAAATATACACGATCAAGACATTCGTGTGGCTCCCTTAAAAGCCAAACTGATAAATTCTACTTTCTTAATTCGGAGCACCACGATTACAATTTCAATTGTCTCCGATTTCTGTTTCACGGAGTCGATCAGTTTGGCTTCTGAGAGGCTCGTGTACGACTAAAAGGAAACAATGTCTATAAAATCTATGAAAGAGACTTACCAGGAGTTGTTCAACGCGTTGACAGAAAGGGACCCGTCCTCGCGCAGTCGAGCACATATCTGGAGGGCCTGGAGGGCCGGGGAGACCAAGTCACACTCTCGATCGCGTCCTCGCGAATTTGTCTCACTCAAACACCGTTTTACTGTCGTTCAATACGGCTTGTTCCTTTCAGTTGCACTTTCCACGTCTGTTCTACGATCTTTTCCTTTTAGGATCGATCAAAGGGACACAAATCGACGGACCTCCGCAAAGAAAATTATATTAGTCTTTCTCGAACACTTCATCTTCATCGACAAAATTCACGAAGATGTGTATACGCCAAAAAAATGTAAATTAAACACACAAAACGTCTCCGGTTTGATCTCCATCAAGTTTTTTCCGAATCTTTAAAATATTTCGATAGGAGCTTGCCTCGAAGATCAAAGCGAAGTACACTTGGAACGGAATCGCGGATGACGGTTCCGTTATTTATTTCGGCTTCGGACGTTCAATCCCCTTCGTTCTCGACGCTCGAAGTCACCGGGGTCTCGATTCGTTTTCGCCGTACGTGTCCCCATTTCCGCAGCTCAAAGGAATGCGCGACGGCAGTTAAAAAATCCTGATTTAAACACGTAGATCGAACTCGAGGATATTGGCTCTCTTTCAGAGACCGAACGAGACCGACGCCGACGCCGCGCCGCGAGATAAGAGATAACGCTTTGTCACAGCGCGTTCAAAGTATACAAGGTGGACGAGAGGCCAGCCGAAAGGAACGGACCACTCGACACGCGCGAGCGTCGAACTGTAAACACGCCCGGGCCTTTAAAAAAAGCCTCTCTCTCTCTCTCTCTCTCTCTCTCTCTTTCTATTTCTCTTGCAGAGACGGCACGGTCAGCGGGTCGCCCGATCGCCGCGATGCCGACGCGATGCGATCCGATCCGATCCGATGCGATCTATGGGCGCAGTCGCGGGTCGCGGGAGATGTGCAGATATATCACTGAGATGTCACGACGGTCCATTCGAAATTTCCTCGCGGAAATTACTCGCGCCGATTTTTTCGACTCGCGTGGTCGCGCGGGCGCGCGCACGCCCCGCGATCGGCCGAGTCACCGTCACCGTCACCGTCGACGCCGCTGCTGGCCGCTGCCGCCGTCGCTTTTCGGCAGCTGTCAATTACCGCTAACACAGTTGCCGCGTTTATGCAGCATCCCGAACCGACCACTTTCGGTCCAGCGGCCGCCGAGGAAGAAGAAAGAAAAAAAAACCGCGGGAGAGATTATAAATCGCCCTGCCGTCACCTGCCGGACGTTCCCGGAAACTCGTGAGTTCCCCCCTATTTACTCACACGAATTATCGATTGTTCATATGTGTTTATCAAAATACGATAAATAAAAAATTATTCCCGTTTCTCGTCGTAATTTGCAATATAAATTGCAACGAAAAAATTCTGCTGAAGATTGCTGGCTTTATGAGAATTTCCGTAACGCGAAAAGTCGAATAAGAAATAAAATAATGAAAAAAAGAGAGAGAAATTCGCCGTATACTAACGCCCTCTCGATAAATTCGCGGCGAAAATATGAAACGACGAGAAGCTGCGCTGCTTACCAATCGCGCAATTGTTTATAACCTGGGATCGGCGAGCATCCGGTTAAAAGTTACTCCGATATTTGCCAACAGTTTACAGTTTAATTTCTCGACGGCAATTCGGACAAGTGAATTATCGTTCAAACATGAACGTCTTACGTTCGTGCGTTAAAACTGTTATCCTGAGCAAAGGAGTGCGATCTATAAATTACGAAGGTTAGACACGCTTCACACGCTTCTTTCATTAACGCATTACGATTTCATTTTAAGGAATAAAACTGACAACAATTGCAATTGAATTTTGCCTTTCGTGTCTATCAGGACAGAGATCCATTAAAAGATGGGTGGCAGCGACGCAAGTAGAAATTACCAGACGCAAGAGGAAGCTAGATCCGCAACCGGAGCCGAAACGCAACACTTTTCTCGATTGGAATAGATCCGCGGAGATTTATGCCTTTAACAAACGATTGTCCGAAAATTTTGACACGGAAAAATTGGAGCAAGCCTTCACTCATAAGTCATACCTTATTCAAGAACAGCATAGACAGAAGGAAATGGGAATTGAAGATCCTGTACTCGCTATACGAGATAACGCTGAACTTATTAGAGATGGCGAGAAGCTCACGTCAGAAATTGTGCAGAATTATCTAGTCCAAGTTTTACCACACGCATCTGAGGATGTCATAATGTATGTGCCAGAAAACATATACATAAATATAAGGATAAATGTTGTATATTGTAGTACTAGGATAATTGAGAATTAATCATGTATCTTCTAGTTCGTTGTACGACTACCTTCTTTCTGAGGAAATCCTGGCTAAAGCAGCTTTTCATATTGGAACAAAAGATATTATCTTAACAGAGGCAAGTATAGAAAAATCCAATATACGATTATAAATTTGCTATATTTCAGTGCGCCGTATACGTGCACTATTGACAAATTTTATCTATTTCTTGAATTAGATGCAATGTTCAAGTTATGTTTTTAATTTACTATTTTTTAATTAATCTTTCAGGAACATCCAGTGGCTCAAAAGACTTTAGCTGACACGTTTCTCGCGCTTGTCGCAGCGCTCGCGGAAAGTGTGGATGCAAATCACGCGGCGACTTTCGTTAGAGACTTCCTGATTGTTATATTAGCTGAGAAGGATCTAACAGAAATATGGAATCCAGCTCGGCCAGTCGAGCTTTTAAATGACGTTCTACGGAAACAAAACAGATCACCGGCCGAACCAAGACTTATTGCGCAAGCGGGACAAAATACCCTCGAAGTGGCGTATCACGTGGCAATGTACTCCGATAAACAATTTCTAGGTTCAGGTAAATGCAACGACGAACAAATGTAATGATATGTAGTTTTACCTACTTATGTTTCGTCATTTGATCTAATAACATCTTATATATATTTTTTTTATCTGTTTATTATTTTTTTAGGATTTGGTCAAACGATCCAGGAAGCCAAGGACGTGGCTGCTATAAATGTTTTAAGCCGAATATTTGGCCTATTAGACTCCAGTAAACCAATTCAGTTCAATAAGACGATAAATCTATCTTCGTGAACAAAGCAAATGTTATTCTTAAGGAGACGAAATTTAGCACAGTGTAATAATGTTGAAATTATTTTCCTTGTATATATAAACTATGAAAGAAATAAAAAAAAAATATATATATATGTATAAAATAGAGACAGAGTTTTTACTTGTAAAAGAATATGTAAGAAAAATCTAAAATTTGTAATGAACGAAACAATATGGCATCCTTTACTTCAAACTTGTCATTGGTTGATTTCTCTGCGCTGATTTCTTCACGCTGCAATGGAGGCCCATCTAGGTAAGCATTCAAAGGCCGATCTGCATGTTTTAGAAATGCACGATCATTGGGCAGTTAATCGGTGCCAACGGAATTCTTCAATAAGAATCGAGCGAATCTCATGTAAACGGATCACGTTGGCTCTTGACGTACCATCTCGCGAGAGGGCACCAACGGCAACGGGAAACTCGCGTTACATCCTTACGTAAGCCCTTCTACTCTATCTGATCTTAGTTGACCGAAAACACGCGCGTTGGAAATGCACGTCTCGAGCCGGAGACCGGAGACGGGAGACAAGCCTCTCCGGTCGAGCCTCTCGGATCATGCGAGCTCTTGCCGGCGATTAGGATCTACACTCGGGACTTGGATTAGAATCCGATTGTCGAGTTCGTCCTGCGCGAGTTGGAACCTCGCTCAAACCGGCCCGACCTCTCCGGAAGTCTCGCTTCCCTCCAACTTTCCGAGATCTTGAGATTTTTCCACGTTCGGTTTTGAGTTTAGTTTCTTGGTTTTTTTTTCTTTCTTTGTAAATTTACGTGGAACCGGTTTTACGCGTAACGAACGATCACGACGAGTCCTTATTCGCGTAGCTATATGGCACCGGGAATCGAACCCGTCGCAATTTCAACCGTATCGAATTCGGGGAATTCTATCGGAAACTATTTTCCCTTTTTCTTTCTTCCGCGGTGTGCATTTTACAAAGAATACGTGGCTCGGAGATATCAATAGGGCGATCTCTCTCTCTCACTCTCTCTCGATGACGTTTACAAATCTAAGATTAGAGTCCAGTTAGGTGCCTTCTAAAAATGTACCTCTGCCATTTTCCGACCCGCCGTGGGCTCGGGACAGATTTTACGAATCGCGAATCGTCGTCGAGTCGTTGAATATACGCGCGACGCGGATGTGGTTGACGAAAAGTTGAAAAGGAGCTTCCGCACGCGAAATAACAATCGGAGCTCCGGTATGACGATCCCTGGGCAGATGGCACCGAAAATGTATTTCCGCGAAAAACCGAGGCTGCCAGCCACCGAGAGCCACCTTTAACGATGACGATGCCGACGCTCTTGTGGAAATGATGCAACTAATGGGGACTAACTCTATTCAGCTGCTAACGCACGTACACGTAACGCGTGTGTGCCGAGGAGGACGAACGGTGTTTATTCATCGCCAGATGCAACGGTCGTTCGTTAAACGACAAAGAGATACAACACCGATGCGCCGGAACGGCATCGGAGTTAAATAAAACAGATCTGTCGAGAAACTCGATTTCAATCTTGACGCTTTTCTCGTCTCGTTTCGAAACCCTCGAAAGATGCCCGGCTTTAGTTTTCGCGTACTAATCTTGGAAAGGATCAGTCTGACGCTCGGACTATTCATCGCCTTTAATCTTTAATAATAATTTTACATGCGTTTTACAATTTGATCGAAATTTCGAGTTTACTGGTCAAAATAATTATTTGAAAATTAAAATTATCGATAAATAGTCTCTTTTACTAGGACTTGAATAATTTCAGCTAAAAGAGAAGAAAACGCAATCGTTTTCATATCGGAGTGTTTGGTCGTAAGCGCGATTCATTTTTTTTCAAGAATTGCTTCTTTTCCATATTCGTTGATAAAACAAACCATCACTCTTATATACATTTCCTATCTACAAATAAAAAACGTATTTAAAAACCAAGTCTTTTTCTAGATCGTCCAGGATAACCCTGAACGACGACATGCCTCCGTCGTCATACAAATTTCCCAATTGCTAAGCACGTTTCAGAACCGTCGGTCCCTCCCGCGATCGTGATTTTCGCGTCACGAGCTCTCCTCGCGGCGCATTAATAAGAAGAGCGCAGCGCAAGTCACGCCTTGATAACCGTCACGTCGCGATAAGAAAAAAAGAGGATTATCGTCGATATTCTCCGGCGATATACCGAGTTGGCGGACGGGACGAGCACGTATCGTAATAAGGAACAACGCGAACGGGAGGAAGACGCTCCGCGCGTCGCATGTCGAACCTTCTCTGTCGTTTCAACGACGGGATTTTCCCGAGAAAGTGGGCGGTGGACTAGCCTTGGCTCGCAAATAGTCCCGAATCGTCCCTTTTAACGAACCCCGAACGGTCCCTTCGCAAGTTCGGCCTGGGCAATCGCTCGCTCGATGAGAGAGAATGAGTTATTCTTTTCGCGCTGCGCGATTATTACACGTCCCTCGTCTCTCGTTCAACGCCGCTCGCGTCGGCTTTGCGTTGCGAAAGATAGCCACGTTGAACGTCGCCCAGCAGCGTCACCTCCTTATACGGGGTGCCGAGAAACAACGTATGCGAGCCGCAGAAGGGTTGCGTGAAAAATTGGAAAATACGAAAGATATTTAATTCCCCCTCTCTTTCTCTCATTTCACGTAAATGTTAACAGTATACCACCGTGCTGAAATGATTAAGTAATGCTAAAGATTTAGATAGAGCAAAAGAAGAAGATTAAACTTTCGTAGAAGACCAATCGCCAATTGAGAAATTTTCCAGCCTCTCATTACCCTCGAATGTCCTGCAAGTTTCCATACTTACACTCTTACCGCATACTTTTTGTAATCAAGTACATAATTGCTCGAAGGAAAATAAAAAATTTATGCGTTGGAATAAAACTGCGATAACGTCTCTCTAACCGGTTGTATCTTCATCTTTAATTTATTTTTAACGACAGCCTCTTTTCTCGCGATCTCTAATCGATATGCGTGTCTCCGGGTAGGAAAAAAAAACGCGCGATCGTAAATGCGGAAAGTAATATTTTCACGGCGAACGGGAAACGTCGCATCGCTAACGGGAAACGCATATTGCTGCTCGACGGCGACGCATATAAAACGCGTCCGTCGCAACGCGTTCGCGCGAATAGCGCAAGTTTCTGGATACAATATCGTCTCTCCCACCGCCGCTGAAACGAAACAACGCAAGTCGAGTTTTACGCACTCTGGTATTTTCGGGATGTAGACGTTACGCTCGCCGCACGCGCGACGCAATTTGCATGCGACGCATAATGTGGAAGCGCTCGTGTTTAACCCGGCTAACTTTATTTTGCGCCTCACGCGCCGATCGTCCTCAACTTGGCGCGGAAAGTCTGAAATCCGCTTCAGCTTCGGGCCAACGAGAGATTCGGGGATGGGTACGTACCTATCCTTCTTCTCACGTATATCGAATCGCGCACGCGGTTACATGTGTAAGGAAGCGAAGAACTTTGCGTCGAAATCGCAAGCTCGTACGAAAGTTATATATTATAAGAGGACGCGAATAATCGCGAATTGTTTTCGGATTGATCCTCTCGGTTCGCGAGTCCACGCATACGGCTATATCGGACGAGTCTACAGCAATTTAATAAAAATAGTAGTTGTACTGACGCACGTTCCTCGGGAATGAAACATCGCAAACTACGCAATTAAAGTTTCGAATCATACAGATTGCGGATCGCGCTCGTTAGGTCCGTCGGTTTACTGCCTGCGTCGCGCGCTTTACATCCACAAGAAATAGATCACGCTGTCCCTTTCTCTCTCTCTCTTTCTTTCTCTCTGAATCGTATACAGACAACGTAATCCTTTTCCCGCAAACGCGCTTTTTGTATTTACACAACGAATGTAATTCGACAGAGAGAACGTCGCCACCGGAGAATTCCGGAGTTGGCGGAGTCGCGGGTCGTCAGAAAAATAGGCTTAGCACGACGCGGGCGCGCGCGGTTGAGCGCGATCCGAAATTTTTCTATATCGGTCGCAGGTATAATATTGATTATTTATGATCCACGCTATCCCCTTTAAGGTGGTTCATCCTTGTCCCCGTCCGCGCGCCGTACCGCCCCGCGTTGCCACCACTACCACCAGTCGCCGCGCTCGCGCTCGTCCCTGTCTATACCCACGTTCCCGCTCCCGCACCCTCCCCTTCGTCGTCTCCTTCCTTTCATTCCTTCCTCTCGCTCCCTCCCGCGAGCGTTCGTTCGCTCGCTCGCTCGCTCGCACGCCCATGCGCGCACATGCACGCGCCACACACCCTCGAAACGGCACACGTACACACATTTCTACAGACGCACCCGCTCGTTGTCTCTCTATCTCTTTCTCGCTCTCTCGCTCTCCCTCTCGCATTATCCCCCTACTGGCTCTCTATTCCTGCGTGTAACGACTCAATGGCGCTGCCACACCCTTGCGCCATCCAGTAATCAGTGCTATTGTTTTATAGTTCCTCTTCTGCTATTGCTTCTCGATACTAGGAAAGGCGACCCATCGATCCCCGGAGTCCGGAGTCGGTTCGGGAACGCGTCGCTTCGACTCGCCTTGCCCTGCCTCGACGCGCCTCGCCGCCTCGCCTCGCCTCGCCTCGTCTCGCGCGCCGCACCAAAAGCGAGAGAGCCGAGAGCCGAGAGCTGAACCGAGCCGAGCGAAGCGGTACGAGGCTCTTTACGGGCCGACCAGAGCCCGTATTCGCTCACCAGGCATTTCGAGATAAACGTGGCCGTTGGCCCGAGACTCCAGATGCGTTTTAACACCCGCATTTAAGCGCCACGCGGACCCGGTTGCGCGCGCGCGCGCGCGCGCACGGATGCGTTTTAGAGATTCTCGGCTTCGGCGTCTATTAAAAAAAAAACATCCTAGGTAGAGAAGGGATACGTATGTATAGATTCCATGGTGAAACGATCGCGTTCACGGCCAGCCGTAGCCGTGTCAAATTCCCGCCCGCAGCAGCCTTCGACGGGGCACGCTCGACCGCGTGCAAACGTGTCCGACGTGAACATATAGGGACTTAATATTCTCGTCAGAGCGACGCGACGCGACGCGACGCGCGTCCAGGAGAGCGAGCGTACGGGGCGCGGTCCTCCGGACTTGGCTTCTCGGAAATCGAGT